AGTATTGTAAAACACAAATTGAAGAAACAAAAGCAGGAAAGGCATGCATGAAGATCTCGGAAACCAACTTAAAAAATGCCATAATACAGTGTGTTAACGACTTGAAGGTAAAGCGATATTTAATATGACTATGAAAACAGTAGGAAATGGCCGGGTGCATTATTACGAGATATGTGAAATTAGAAAAAACTCATGTATTTGCTTCTATTTTGACACTCTTAGTTGTCAGGAGACAAGACATTTGCAGTGTTGGCATTTGAGACCATGAAGTACATATGTGAAGATACCACATTAAAGAACCTTTCACTCTACACTCATACTGCAAGTGGTGACTTAATGCCTCCCAGAGAGGTAGTAAAAGACTTGTGTCCTGCAGACTGTAGTGGACGTGGCAAGTGTAAGAACAGAACCTGTATATGTGAAAAAGGCTATACTGCACTGGACTGTTCCATGCAGGTTAATTCAGTTCCTGAGTTGTTGGGGTAAGTCGAATGCAAACAATACGTGAACAGTAACTGTAATTGTGAAAACATTGAAAAAGGATTTTTTTTCCATTGAAAGTCTATTATAGCCTTTTAGGTCACTGTTCTAGCTTTCAGCTTTATGATAAATCGTTTTTCTATTCCCTCTTTATGAAAGGTTTGGCATTTCCTTTCTCGAAACCTTTTATATATATCTTTCCAAAACAGTACGCAATGATTGAATGGTTCCCGATTGGTAGTAAAAAAAGTACTGACAATCGAATCTCTTTTGAACACAGAAAACTAATAAGTTAATCCATTTTAGCTTTTTCCTTTGACTCCATTTTTAGGRTTTACAATAGTGGGCTCTGTGATATACGAGAACGACCATGTAAAAAGACAAATATCTTGGGTCAGAACTTTATCAAATCGAAGAACCTAACATGTCATGTACAGGAAGAAAAGGTATTTTTGTGAGTCTTCAAAGATAGATATATCTAATAAAGTGCACATGAGTAGGTTCCGATCGGTCACCCTGTAGTTTTGTGCTGACATAAAAATTTGAGCTCATCAAATGATAGTAATATTAATTGTCTGTGAAACCTGTGATGTTTTGTTTCAACCAATATCTTGTGATTGTTATCTTAGGTTTATCAAGGTACCTGGTCTCCTCGTGGAATTCCTGTCACGTCACAAGGGAAAATGACTGATCTGTTTGGTGTACAGTGCAACCTGCCTGAGCCTCCGACTAGACTTGGTGACTACGAACACGAGAGTACCCCTGCTGGGGGACTTTTGATTTCGATTTCTAATGATGGATTCAATACTAGTGTTCAACGACTGCGTCATGTGACATACGACTCAAAGTGCATGATCTGCAGTAAATCAGGAAAATGTGAATTTAAGGTACGTATTCAATTGACAATGAGGCTAATCCAATGCAAGTTTTGAAGCAAATGATAGGAGGAGAAAACCCGGCCTGTTCATCATAACTACGTGTAGAGGTGTAGTAAGTATCTCGCCCGTGAGCATCTGGTGCTGTTATTCTGCAAGTGTCGAAACTATGGTTTTGTAAAATCGATACCCGTCCGTCTTTCGCAGATCTGAATTTGTCAACTTCTCGAAAACAGTATTGGAATTTAGGCTTTGGCACATCTCCTAACTAATGCTATTTGTTAGTTCGACAATAACCACTGTTTGATCAAGTGCTATATAATTTTGATATTCTCTTTAGGGTACTTCTAAAACTAACGTCATTGGTGTTCTTATCTAGCGAACAACGAATATGYTTTAGATTCTTAAGTGAGGGTAGGATATATATAATATTTGTCATTTACCCTTTCAATGGAGGATTTGATGTGTGTGTGTTTTTATTTTAGAACAATTCCTGTTTAATAAAGGGACATTGCTTTGCTGCCAATGAACCCAACCCACGTGACTGGTGCCAGCAGTGTTTACCACATGTTGACCATAAAAAGTGGACAAGTAGAAAAAGTATGTTTGAATTATAGAAACCTCTACCTATTATTACATCACGGGCTCTGACATCATACTTTTTCCTTTGTAACTGCACAGACAATCAAGTTCCCAGGTTTGCTTCAAAGACCACCTATTTTGCCTTACAAGGAGAAAGACTCGTGATCCAACTGAAAGCAACAGACCCTGATAACCGCCCCCTAACATACTCTGTACTCAGTTCTACAGCTACTGGATATATACTCAGTCCATCTGGTTTATTGACATGGAAGGTGACATCCAATCAGAATAACAAGTTTACCTTTCAAGTGACTGACGAGTGTGGCGCGTTTGATATAATACATGTGACAGTACGTATAGTACAATGTCCATGTCTCAATGGTGGCAAATGTGTACCCCACCCCTACCACCCACGGGGATCTGGATCATACCAATGTCAGTGTCCCAGAGGAACCGGTGGAGAACGGTGCCTGAAAGTTTGTTCCGGGTCTGAATGTAAGTATAATWATACAATTCTTATTTTCCCCTAAATATCTTCTATTCAATTTTGCATGCTTGTTCGCATTCAGGTCCTCGTGGTCTCACAGTGAAACCCATAGGGACAACCAAACTTGAAGTGAAATGGAACGAACCTAAAGACTTACAGTCTGTGGATTATTATTGGCTAAAGGTAAGTTAAAAGAGTTAAACAAACATCACAGACTTCAAAAAAGAAAGAAAGAAAGAAAGAAAGAAAGAAAGAAAG